ATTACAGCTGTTTTCAAAAAGATGTGGAAAACGATTTCCATATACCCATATGGGGAATCAGAGAATTTGAAAATTCCTATTAGTAAAAATTAAGGAACCGATTGGAGCGGGTCTTGAAAACTTTAGAATCTTAGAAATCTTGGCGAATTTCCCGTAATATGATGATCTGCCCATTCCACATCTTTTTGAAAACAGCTATAATTGACGGCCGGAGGCTATTTCCCTACTGAGGTTAAAAATAAATCATTGCAAAAATAACACGTAAATCCCCATAAAAAACAATTATTAAAACGGGGAATAATTTTTATTTGATACCACACATAGTTTTGATTTACATAATTTACATGTATTATAAAAAAATTCCAATATTTAATTTTTATATGATACCACACATAGTTTTGATTTACATATAATGCAGTGTATAAATGTTGATACATTTCAGCGATTGACCAATCGTATTTAAAGACCGCTATGCTGGCCATATGATAATGAATGGTATGCTCGGATTCATAGACAATTAATAACGATAAACATCAAATTGGTTCACTTGAATTTGGTAAGGATCTACCTGACAGAATTGGCCGACCCATGATTTTTTATCGACCCGTATCCATAGTGTAAATAAGCAAGTAATGTAGCTTTGTCTATTTACAGCTCAAATTCAAAAATCTTTAAAAACAAATTAGTCGAATATATCGTTGATCTAAAAAAAAAGAGAAAATCGCTAATTTACACCATAGGTGATTATCACGCGTATTGCTATATTTCAATACATTGACTATTAAATAAATGTTCTGAAAACCTTGTGTAGTCTAAAATTTGGTTTATTTTGGTTTTAAATTGCACCTTAACCCTAAATTTTAGCAAAAATAGATCACCACAGGTGATCATTATATTTTTTTAAAAAGGAATATAAAAAGAATTCTTCCAGCATAATAATAATAATAATAATGATAATCATTAATATCATATAGCTTCTTTAAATATTAACATACGTAATAAATACACAAAAATAATAACAATAATAATAATATTTAAAATTTTTAATAAGATAAATCAAATATGTCTTCAATTTCTCAAGAACTCTCTCCTGAACCACAATCAATGCCAGATGATTTTGCTTCATTGCCTACAACTGATGTCAAAGAAGAAATTGACTTTTCAGTGGTAGATGCTTTACCACCACAAAAAACCGACAATTCTGAAACGACGAACGATGATGATTTGAAAAAAGAAAAAAAACTAAATCATAAGAAACAAAAAGAAAATGCCGCTACAGTTCCATTCTTTAAATTATTTAGATTTGCCACTCCTCTTGATATAATTTTTATTATAATTGGTTCTATTTCATCCTTGGTAATTTTTCAATTTCTTTCTATCTTTATTAGCATTATATTATAGTATTAGACCTTTTTTTTTTGATCTTGCCTTTTTATTATATAGGCTTTAGGTTCTTCTATTCCTGTCATGACAATATTATTTTCTGATTTCATGAAAGACTTTTATGTCTATGAATCACAAAAACGTACATGTTTTCCGGCTTGTGGAGATGAAGCAAAACAAAGTTTAGACGATAGCATTAGAAATAGTGCTATTCATTTTATTATCTTGGGTGTTCTCGTTTTTACTGTTGGATATTTGCAATTGTCTTTATGGATGATTTCTAGTGAACGCCAAGCAAATGTCAGTATTAAATCATTCAATTTATTATTTATTTTATCGTTCATTTTGCCATTCATTTCATTTCGCCATTCACTTCAATTCACTTTATTTTATCACTTCGCTTGTTCTAATTTAAAACTATTCCGCTTTTGTTTTTAAAAGAGACTTAGATTAATCTATTATTCTGCTATCCTTCGTCAAGATATTACGTTCTTTGATACGGTGTCGACGGGTGAAGTCACTACTCGTATATCTGGAGATATTGCTCTTTTTCAAGAAGGTATCTCTGAAAGAGTTGGTCTAATTTTACAATATACTGCTACGTTCCTTGGTGGTTTTATTGTAGGGTTTATAAAAGGTTTGTTTTAAATCTTGTATCATATTTCAATTTCAATTTTCTTTCTTATCAAGTGTATTCTGCGCCACATACATACAATTCATTAACGTTTTTTACAATTTTTTAGGTTGGAAATTAGCTCTTATTCTTTGTGCCATATTTCCTTTATTGGCTGCGGTTGCTGGGTTTATGGCAAAAGCCCTTAGTCAAGGCACTGCTGATGGTTGTTATTTTATCATTTCTTGTTTGAAATGTTCTTTTTAGTTTTACATTACTAACAATATTGTTTGATATGGCAGGACAAGGTTCGTAATATTTATTATTTAATTTTTAATACCATTAATATCATTAATATCACTCGTATTGAAATCCTTCTTTTTATTTTGAAACAGACGCGTATGCAGCTGCTGGAAGTGTAGCAGAACAAGTACTATCCGGTATAAAAACTGTAGTAGCATTTGGTGGGCAAAAATTTGAACTTGAACGTTATACTGCGCAATTAGAACGCGCGTATATTATGGGAAGGAAAAAAGCATTTGTTAGTGGTTTAGGTCTCGGGGCTCTTATGTTTGTTTTTTTTGGTTTTTATGGTTTGGCTTTCTGGTATGGTAGTACTTTAATTATAAATCATGAAATGACTAGTGCTGATGTTGTAAATGTTTTCTTTTCTGTTCTTTTTGGTAGTATGTATATATTTTTTAATATTCTGTTTTATCTTTACATTATTTCTTTGAATCATATTCTTGGAAATTTTTAACTTATTGTTGCGGCTGAAGCTGGAAACGGCTGAAGCTGGAAATTTTAAATATTTTAATATGAAATTTTCAAATTTTTTT